CTTGGCAATTATAAGGAAGTTCACTCAGTAAGGAAGACACGTGATGCTTGGCCAACATTGAATAATTAGTTTAATTTCGTTAAAACAATAATTAACAAGAGCTTTTAACGAAGAGGCGACTGAAAAGTTTCCGCTCACTCAGTTATGAGAAAACTATAGAAATATCTAAACAGTAATTCTTGAATGGGTTTAAGAGGATCGTTATTGCGTTATTTGCATGCTTTTTTACATTCGGGAACTGAACTAATGACAATGAATTTTCTTTTCTCGGAAACATACCCACATTTTCTTACATGTAAATAAGCCAATTTTTTTAAACTACAACGGCAAAGAAACAGTTGATGTCGTTTTCCGTTGGTTAATAAGCAACGTTGGTTAAGCAAGTGTGTAGAACAAGTACTTTCATAAATTCGCAATGTTGCCACAGAAAGAATCAGATTAGGCAATTTTCACAACAAAGTTTCAGTATTACCACCTCCATCTTCAAGCACTTTCCAATCTCTTCCTTGCTTCCTTCACTCAAGCGTTATGAGACATTTATCCACATGGTTCATCGTAAGCATTTTTCATTTTTTCCTTTTAAATATTTCACAGGAGGAAGTCCAGCGATGTCAAGTCCAATGATTTAGACGTCCACTTTAACGGACTATTTCAATCTTCTCATTTTTCTTCTAACGTTCAATTAAATATCGTTGGCCAATTTTAGCTTCGCATGGCTTCGAAAAACATCGGATTTCTTGAAGAAAATTACATCTTCACATGTGTGTTTTTAAGATTGCTTAGTACTAAAGACACCGTAAGCGACAAAGCAGTGCAGTTTTCCTTGCAGCAACGGATAGTTACAAGAATTTTGGCCAAGGAGGAGGTGAATCCTTCAGACATATTGCGGATATTAAAGGCATTGTACAAACAAATTTTCAGAGGTCGTGGAAAAGTCGACCGTCAAAGCCACAATCGGCGCCCAATAATGAATTTCCGCTCCATCGCATGGAGGACAAAATGCGTATAGACCTGTTGAAGAACTTGAGATTCCAACAAGTCAAACTCATTTTCACGTCGAATTTAGTCGTATTGTGAGCTTCTGGAAGCCGCAAAATTGTAACATTGAAAGAAAACAGAGAAGCTGGAGACATTCGACATATTTGGCTGGGAAACCTTGGAACATGTCTCTATATTCCAGACTTATCATATTGGAATCTTACTCTTTTTGGTCCCCTGAAAGAAGCATTTGCAGGCCAGCGTTTCGACGACGATCAAGTGGTACAAAAGTTTGTGCTCCAGTGGTTGCGTGAAAGTTTCCAAAAGTTTCTACGATGACGGGATTAAAAAGCTTCCAATCAGCTGGGAGAGAACTATTATTTTCTAATGCAATGATGAAAGTGCTAAATGAAGCATATCTGATACATCCCTGTCAGAAAGATACAGTCGGTAAAAAATGCAAACAAGTTTCACATTTTTCGGTTTTTTTGTACCCAGGAAGGTCTAAGGTGTCTGTCCCTGAGCTTATTTATCGCTCCTCGTTTGCTTATTATGAAAATGGTACATCTCAGGAATTTGCATGGTTTTTTCGTATTTAGGTGCGGCCACAAATCAACTTTTCACATGTTTATTTTTGAGATCAACATATAGTTTTCCAACTACGAAGCTTCTTAATTCTATCGCCTTCTCCTGTAGACGCCCATTATCGGACCAATTATACATTTTCTCCAACAGCTTCATTTAAATATTGGTGGAGATCGCTCATCTTGGCAACACATTTTCTCATATGGTAATAAATGGCATATTTTCGAGCACATATGCACAGGCACGTGTCTTCGAAAAAAGTGCAATAATCGATCAATATTTTAAAGTTCTTCTTAGAAATATGAGAGGTCAATCAAATATCCTTTAATATATCACACCAACCGTTAAAACCACAGTGTCTATGTCGAAAAATGTATCTTTTTTATTGGGTTCACTGTTACTCACAAACCGGATTTCCTCACTTCACCACACATGCTAACGTCTGATAAAGTCTTCATTGTTGTTGTTGCTATGTTGCTATTATCTAGTTGTAATAACCATTTTCATCCGAAATTATCTTGTCTTGTGAATCGAGTTTTGGCGTGAACAATTTTCAAATATGGTCAAAGAGATATGTTCCTGAGGAAATACAATTTAACGGCGCCATCATTTCAGTTTTCAAATATAAAAAACATAAATAGAGAACATTTTCCAGTTTTTCTTACTTTCTGTAATAAGCTGAGACATCGAGTATTGCTCACCCTGTACGTGGTACTCGATTTGTCGTTAAATTGAATGCCACTCAAAAATTACTAAGCTACTGTTTGAAATAAACCCCATCAAAAAACCTACTTCCGAAGAAATGAAACATATTATTACAAAAAAAATGAATCTACTACCAAAACATCCGAATGAATAATTCTGTCAAAAAATTTTACAGTACAACATTGATGACAAAACAACGTGGGGGCTCAGATTACTGTTGTTTTGAAAAGTAAAGTAAAATACATAGGGACAACATTTTAGTAACATACAAAATAATGCTTTAAATAATTACATTTCAAATGTTGGAAAATAAATACATTTCAAAGAAAATAAGTACATTTCAATAAAATAATGTATAATACATATTTTATTTAAAATATTACACTATAAAAAAGAAAAAAAACAATGATTATAATATCGTTGGGTGGAGAATTCTTTCCTAAATAAAACACAAAAAATGCAAGTTGAAAAAGTTCTGCTCCAAAGCCACTAAAAAACTTTTAAGGCTACATTATCCGTGTATCTATTTATTTGATCACACTGTAATTTTACAGATTGAAACGGATCTTGATATTAATTCTTGTGTCTTCTTTCTTGCTCTAGATATTTATATTTTACGAAATATATCAAACGATAAAGTAGCCTATATATACTTGGGTCAAATCGTGCACTACAGCAGTCAAAAATGTTCTAGTTTCCACTCAATCTCTCACTCTATCATCAACACGCTCTATACCTTGCGTTTAAATATTCTCAGGTATATATTCATTCTAAACCCATACCTAGTACACAATTTGCCGCCTTAAATTTACGAAAAAAATTTAAAGATCCAAAATCGTTTCCTCACGATAAAATTATACTTACACGCAATCCAGTAATTGTATTGTTACAAATCGTATCAACTTCAAAAACCCAGTAAATTATGTTTGGGTAACAATCTTATGAATATTTTTGTCACTATTTTTTCGTCAGATTAACATTTAAAACATGTGGACCGATTTTCAACACAATATCAACAACAATCATTTTTAAATTGCTTTCACTTTTTTAAAAATCGAAATCAGAGCGGGATAAGTCTACACGAATATTTTTAGAAAACGATTTTGTACCTTCGCCCTTGATAAAAAACCAGCTCAAATTAAAAAAAAATGGTGTCATGTTTAGACATGATCTGAATAAATGTTATAACTTGCACTGGCTCATTATCGCCACTCATACGGTTAGTTTTCATGCTAGAGGTTGACTTAATATTTTAAACGTTTTTTCACATTATCTTGTCTCTTTTAAATTAATTAATTCGTTAAATCAGCTATCCAGGCTATTTCTACTCGCTACTGAAAATTAATGTATATGTAATAATTCGTTATTTGATTACTGTGTGACTTTTTTTGAAATTAAAACATTTCATTTATTAAAGCTGTGTTGGAGCGTGATGATTTTCATCTAGAAACGATTTAAAAAATGATGAAAGCCGATAGCATATTTGCTTGAATATGTCAGACGAATTTACGACTAACAAGGTGATTGTTTTAATTTGCTTCAAAATCTTTTTCTGGTCTTGGAAAACTTGAATATCACAATAGTATTTTATTCCGCACTCAAATGAATTGAAGAATCTGAACATTATAGTTTGAATTCTTCAATATTTTAATATCACTACCAGCGTTTGCTTCATATGAACTTAATTTGGTAAAACATATTTTTGTTTTTCGGTGAAAACTGCACTGAGTTTATTCAATTGAATATGCTTCTACTTGATAAAATTCCAAGGAATCGCGCTTCGTGATGGATCGACATTTGAGGTTTTAAATATTATAAAGCCAATTATCAAAAATTAATTTTTCATGTTTAGAAAACTAAATAGTTATATTCTGCAGAAAAATGCAATGCATATAGTTAAAGAAAAATCCTTGAAAGTACACATTAATCTTTCTGAAATCAGTGAGATGACACTATTTAGCTAATTTTGATATGTGTTCTATGTGTATACCACAGTCGACTTTCTTCTCAATGTTTCCGAGAAGTAATTACGGAAACTGAGAGTTATATTTCCAATAAAAATTTATTGTATCTTTGTACAGTTTCATTCTGATTAATTTTAGTAAAATTTTTGTTTTAGCCGCTTTTTAAAATGCTACAGGCTGGCTACATAACTCATGTCACTCACTATGTCATGAGCGGGTATATTTTCAATTTTCATTTCTATATTGTATTCTCTTTGAAACACTTCGCATAAATTATTTAAAAATCTTCCATGTAAAAATATGTTATGCTTTTCTCCTTTAATAATTATACAGAAAATAACGACGAAGAACATTGACGAATACACAGAAGCCAGTGTCAGCTACATGCTTAAAGTAATTTCTTGAAGACTATTGCATGCAAATGTTCGTAATATTTAACAGAAGCAGGTGTCCTCCCTGATGACTGACCCCTGTATATATAACGCGAAGTTAGGAAAAAGGATAACAAACCAAAATGGGTATTTCTATTAGTCAAGGGTTCTAAATGAATTTATTCACTGGTATTGCGTTATAGTTTAAACATCGCATTTTTCGCAAGTCCAATGTCTCACATTTCTTCTTAATGGGACAGTAAGTGAATTTTTATTAGTTTTTCAAAAATCATATCACTCCATACACAGCACATAATACGAGACGAAGGTAATGGAATCAACATATTTAGTCAACCTTCAAAAATACATGTTGCAATAAAATATTTTGTATGCTTACCACTGACTGTCCCATTTACGGGTGTATATACAAACTGATGTAATTCACTAGTTTTACCACTTGACACCACACACAACCTAACCGGAATTGGTTCGGTTATATTGTGTCTGCGGTAAGGGGGTACAACACACACAAAATGTGTCTGAAACAATAGAAAAACCTTAATTAATTATGAACCAAAACAGGTTGGTTGAAGAATGATGTTGTTAAAGCTAAGATACAACGAAAACAACAAAATTCAAAGAAAAAGAACTTTCCAAATTTTGTATTCGCTATGAAAGCACTTACATTAAATTACGAGTTTAACATACATGTGGCTGCATTTTTTGCTGATAACATTTGCACAATTTAAAAAAAACTACATGTCAAAGGTCCATCTTCAAAGAGCCTTGACGCTTACGAACATTTATTTATTTTTTGATAAGACGATTTAGGTCAAATCGAAATGAAATCATCACGCTGAATCCCTATATAGTTAATGTTGAAATATTTTACATTTAGCATGTATATCATACGTACTTGCTGTAAGTATTCTTTATCAGGTACAACAGATTGCTCCCAACAGACACGGCCCTCTTCAAATTGCTGAAAGATGACTTTCGTGTCCTTCAGGAAATTTTTGCCCAAGACGAACAGCTCTAAACCACCACTGGCCGGACAGGAGGTCAATGATTTTTTGCAGATTTCGGGAATACCGGGAGGTTGAGCTGAAACAATTAAGGGCATACATTAGAATGCAGTTATTAACTAACAAATATTTCGGGTATAAATTGCGGTCAATAAAATGATCTGTGCCAGACAAAAATTCTAATAAAACGAAAAGCGTTGTAAAGATGATTTTCCTACGAGTAGTTAAAAAAAATGGAGCTGAAATAATTTCTTTTCACAGAATTTTTTTATTGTTTTTTTATCATCGACTTTATGTTAGCCTTGTAGATTTTTATGGCGGCAGAATTCCACTTGACTTTCAAAACTCTCTCTCTTTTTACCAAGGCCGTACCAAATCGTTCGATTGGGTGAAGCTCTGAGTAATTTGGTGGGTTGACTTCCCGAGGCACCAAAACGACTTTATTCATTTGGCACCATTTTACAGCTCTCTTACTATGGTCACAGGATGCCAAGTCTGACCAAAAGAAAGTTAATACTTTATGTTGTTTCATAAATTGCAACAATCTTTTTTGGAGGCACTCTTACGTAAATTTATCGTCCCATTCGTTACAAAATATTTGCAGCGCTCCTCACAGCTACACAAGGTTTGCCACACGAGGAATTTCTTGGGAAGCTTTGACTTTTTCTTAGCCCTGAACTCTTTATTCTTCAATAAGCTTCTTCTCCAATTTCTCGACAACTTTCTTCACTGTTTGTGGGCGTGTAAATCCACTTTCTCTACCCGAACAATACAAATATGTTTTCCTCGAAAACCGTTCTATTCATCGATATGAATCAACAGTATCCTTTTTCAGTTTAAGGTTAAAGCTACCTAAATACATTATTTTCGTGTCTCATTGTACAGAGTAAAAAAATAACTATTAATGTGCTCCACCTAGTCCATCCCTGGCAAATCGAAATGCTAAAAATGTTTTCTTCGGTCCTTTTGAAGAGCAATGATGTACTGTCCATTGTATAAAAAAATCATTAAATTGTATGGAGTATTCTAAAAGTTATTTAAACAAAAATCGATTCTCAGGTGGCTCCTTTAGAGGCCTGTATCTCCGTAGGGGGGCCCTCTGGAAAGGTTTTTTTATAGAAACTTGTTATGTTTTTAACGCCCTCTGTATAAATCCGAGGGCATGCCCAGATATTCTGGGACACCCTGTCTATCACAGAATGCTGTTTGTTAATTTTGATAGCCCATCAAAGTTTTTAAAAAGTTACCTTGTTACTCTTACACTAGTATGTATAACATATAAAAGCTCCTTTCGTAACTTGTTTCACATATTTTTAGTAATCAATATAAATATGAAGCGGTGTTAGTTTTTTGCTACCTTCTATGAGTTCAAGTTTTTACCTTAAAAACTGTTTTTTATGTGATGTTTATATAAAAAACACAATATGAATAAATGTGTTAATGATTTAAACATAAAATATTTTAATTGACAAGTTTTTTATTTCTAAATTTATAATTTTTAATTTAGTGCCTTTAATTAATTTTTAATTTAGGTCCCATTATCCGTAAAAATTAAATTGGATTTATATCCGTGCATCAGGTTTAAAATTGGCCTGTTTTTTTTCTGGAAAAACCGGATTTTCTACTTTTTTTTAAATACTTTCCAAAAAGGGCCAGAATTTTTCTGTTTTACATATACGCCGAGTCTAAAATGTGGTTTAAATTTTTTAAAGATATCATGCGTGATTAAAATATCATTTTGTATCTTTTAATTTGAAAAATATTACATATTCTCCCGCAATATTTTAAATGATTAGAAATTGCAATAAATATTAGTTATCTTTGCCGTTACGCAAGAAGCCCACATCAAGTGTACTAATCGGAAAATTAGAAAATAAAATGTTCAACAATATGAATTGTTCTGTTTAATACCCTCTGATATTTGATAACATTTATAAAAAACGGTTACCCTTATTTCACATTTTTTTGGAAAGGATCATTGATTTTTGTGTGTTGAATACTTGCAGCAAAATAGAAAATTCCGCTTACTGAATTAAATATCAGTTTACTCACTCTCATAAGAATATTTATACTTATAACAACAGCAAGGCTTCTACACATTTTGAAAACAAGATATGTGTACAAATAACAAACATAGAATAAAGTTAGTGAAATAAGTGAAAGAGAAGAATAAAATGAAATGCCGTGTTAAAGCGGCTTTGTGCGTTATTAATTTATTTTTAATAGACCGCATTTGCAAAAACGTCCAGTGTATGTATCATTTTAAAACAAAAATCAAAATTAATATGGAATAATTCTCAAACGGCTCAAAGTAAAGATTGATACAAGCCGGCATATATATCAATACTCACAGGGAAAAATAATGGGACATAAAAAGGAAGCATTAAACTTGTGAAGTAAATATAATACTGAACAAAAAGTACAATTAATCCTCTCGTTCTGACAAAGGAAAACACACTTTAGTACATGCCGGTGAAAAAAGCTTATGAAAAGATGAACAGGTAGATGGGACATCATTTTCAAAGAGAAGGGACAGCCATTTCTTTGGAATACAAAGACAGATGTGAGGGTTAATTAGGAACCAACCAAAAATAAAAAATAAAAAAACTAATCACATTCACGGAAACAAATCACATAAAAAGTAGTGGATTAAATCAGATAACAAAATAAACGCAGAAAATATAATGTAAAATGCTTTAAAAAAGTTAAAATAGAAAAATTCTAGACACTAGAAGACATGACGAATGAACGACTATAATGACGAAGTTCAGTACACGAAATCTGTCCAATCAACTCACGCACGACCCGACAAAAATATTCACTAACAACGCTCTATACAACTAGCACCAAAGTATTAGAAATTTTAAATTTCAAATAGCGTAAAAAAGCTTCAAGACTATTTTCTTCTGGCTTAGAAAGAATCCAATTACAGCACTTCAAAAATTAACAGGAATTTAACTAATAATCTCAGCACGCATGCAAATAAATAATGGGGATTCAGATCATCCTAAATGCCCTGTATCTTTTTCTCATGAGACAAATAAAGAATATATCTGGAGACTCAAAGCGTTCGCTTACATACAACTACACATTTCCCTATAACTCCTCTACAACAGACAACTTCCCCAGAACCTAGTCAAAACCATCGATAATGTATAAGACCAATAAAAGTCAGAAAGTAATAAGAAAAGGTGATTCTTCAAGTCGGGTCTAGTGCAACAAAAAACAAAGATATAGATCTAATGACTCATATTAAAAACACAGATAATTAGCAGTTATTACAGATATTAAAAAACTTAAAAAGAGCATTCACTTTTTCGTTAAAATATAATTATCTTTAAAACATTATACAGTTTAAAGAAGTTGGAATGGAGGCATGGCAATATTCTAAATATCCATTTACTCAGGTTGTTTTCAAGTCAATCTTCTTCATTTTTCGAATATTTATTATGAAAACTTTTGGGCTGAAAATTGTTTAGTTGCAAATTATATCGGTGTCCCGTAAGCATTTTATCAAAATTGTTCTGCTACGTTATTTGGTTCAAACGGCTCAAAAGGTTCTAAATTTTGTTAAGCAAGAATGTCTGCCTCTTCTGTTATTGAGAACTTCTTAAAAAATATGCTTTTTGTAATATCGGGAATGTTATGATCGATTTTAATAAAACTTGCTACACAAGAATCATATGTTGAAGTTTCCCCGTCCATCAGCATTGAGCAAATTGTCAATTCTTGAGAGGCTTAGTACAAAAATTACCAGAACTTTAAGACACACTAGAGAATACATGAAAAAATTTACCATTTGTTCAAAGCGCATGGAAGCCTCATCATAGCAAATCTACAGCAATAGATTTGCATTAAACCCCACCAAAGCATTCTGCCTACTTATTTCATCAATTTAAATAGAAATGATAAATGTGTAAACTCATCAAAATAAATCTGCCTTCGGTGACTCTCTGGCAATAAAAAACTGTATGTATCTCATAAAATCTGAAAACACTTAGCTGAAGTGTTGCAACAGTAAACTAATATTGTGTACAGATCTAATAAAACTACTTTCGTTGAGAAACACACGTAAAAAAGATCCTCCCTTAACAAGCAAACATTAGCGCTCGTCCTTTACATTTAGCCGCCTTATGCGCGTTGCAACACATGACGCCACTAATTCGGCACATATAACATACTTGTTAGTATGCGCGTAATAATTATTTTTGGATTTGAATACCCATTAGCACTCGGAATTTGGTGTAAATGTTTGACTCAAATTTTAATGGAATATAAATTCTTTATTGATACTAATTGGACGGATAAACATGGTCTGTTTAGTTGAATGGCTGGTGTATGCAACAGCAACTAGAAATTGCGTCATGTATAAACAAACTTGCGGAGGCTCCACATTTTAAACAATTTTTTTGTGAAATGACAAACCGATTAACTTACGCTTTACGAGGTTTCAGTGCCAATTGGATGATACTAAAAATGTACAACATAAATACATTAAACTCTTGAGTAGAGATGGTAATTGCTTTGGCACCAAATTTTTCAATGGTGTATAATTTATAACTATACAAGGTGTGTTTACTACAGCATGAATTAGTATCAACAAAATGACGAATAATTGGTTTTAAGAAAAAATGCGATCACGCGTATGCATGTGAAACTAAGTTAAGTCAAATTTTTTCTTCTGAATTTTGGACTAGAGATCCAGTTTGAATAGTAATCTGCGGAATTTTAAAAATGTCTTCTCACAACCCTCTTTCATGGGCGAACATAGCTTAAGATCGTATTCCTTAAATAATTTTAAGTTGAAAATTTCTTATAAAACTGAATTATGGGCAATATTAACTTAAAGAGAGCATAGAAAGTAAAGTAAAGAGCATCCTAAATAAAGCAATGTAATATTTTATTACTAACACTATTTGAAAGATTTTGAATCTTCTAATAACTTACCGTCAATTTGAACAAAATAACTACACTTTTAATATTGGAAATAAACAAACGGCAATTAACGTTCTGGCATATTTTGAAGCTTTCCCGAGAAATCTGTGAAAGATTTGAGAAGAGAAAGCGGCCTTCCCTTACTAATTTGGCGAATCTTAAAAAAAATCAATTAATTATCTTTACTACTACAATGCGATGTTCAATAAATTTTTTAGTATCACCATAGCAATCAACGCAAAAAATTCAACTCTTTGCTATTTAAACCAAGACTGTATCTCCACTAACAACAAAATTACCAATGGTGCGCCCTTAATTTGGTACAGCCTGTATAAGCTGATCTCTGGTTTGTGGTTTTTTATTTGAGTAAATAAAACTTTTCATAAAAACGCAAAAATAATATTCGAGAAGTTTTAGGTTCGGTGACCTGGGAGGCCAGAAAACCGGATCTTTTGTTCCAATCCATTAAGTTCTATCATTTATTCCAAAATGTGGAGGTGCGCCGAGTTCGTATCCGTATCTCCACATCCTTAATAATATCATGTTAACTGACAAAATATGGAAGGCCAATTATGTACATTTTCACTCAAATACCTTCGCCGTTTTATAAAATATAGACAAAATATCATTTTCTGTTAATTATTCCTAATTAGGAAATCATATTAAATTGTTTTTTTGTCAATAAATGATGTACGAACATTTATAATTTTATCATTTTTCACGATAGTTAAATAAGTTAAATTAATAAAATAATAAGTTAAATAACGTTATTATATGCAGTATTAGAAATAGGAAAAAACCGAAGGGAAGATTAAATAACGCAACTACTGAAAGTGAACCCCGGAGTTTGGCAATGTGTCCTTACAAATCACAGTTGTAATTTATATGCTACATTAAAATATGCACAACACTGGAAGCGTGCCAGTTTTACACCCAGTTAACGCATATATGACTTTATAGGTATTTCAGGCGAATTGCAACGATTATAATTTAGTCGGAGATAATCGTATTCCGGGTATCTATTGGTTTCCAATTAAGTGTTTCTGTTTTTATATAACAGATCACTTGTTGCTCATCTCCCATTAAATATAATTAGTTTCACATAACGATTACTCTTAGTGTTGAAATATATGCAACCTATTTTAATTATAACTTACGGATCCCGAGCAAACCACGTAGTATTTAATGCATTGAAAAGTCGTAAAATTTTGGCGGTAAACAGATATCGATTTGTTTGAATAGAGATCGGCATTTAAATTTGGTGGTTGAGATAAATATTTGTATCAAACAAAAATAGTAAACACGTTTGGAGGTCGTAAAAGTTGAGCTACCGTTTGAAACGGTATTTTAAACAACAATAATCGATTTGATATTATTTGTTATTAATCGTGAATTGTGAAAATAATTATTAGCTATCACTTTTCCAAGTATCTTCGTAAACCAAATATAACGTTAACATATTGATTTGATAAATTTTAAATAGACACTTACTGCATACAATTGGTTGTGAACACACTTGCAGTGTTTCAGACTGTCCATTATCATGTGTAATCGTTGTTCTGAAAATCATTCTACATCGCGTCGATTTCTTTTTACTGCGATTCCCCAATTGGTCAGGAAATCGATGTTCAACGTCTACGTTTCTTTCCTGTAAAAAATAGTACGGAATTATTACTCTACAATTACTACCATTTTTTTTTATAAGATGAGCAACAGGTGTTGAAGCATTGATTATGAGTTTCTAAATATTTTTTACATAATTGCTATTAAATTTTCATTGAAAAATTTTGAGAATTATTAACTTCATGACCACTAAAGAAATAGCGCTATGCGAAACCCCATGTTTACGTTGAAAGCACTTATGTTATATTTTGGTACATTCAATAGATGCCATTAAATTACAAAAACTGAAAATATTACTTTTTTCGGGACACCTGGTACCCTTTTTTTACCGTATGTTGCAATTCCATATTATAGGCGCAATAATTCCTAAATATACGAGATTAGATAAACCGTAATGTATGCCCTATCAAATGGAGATTAAACGCTTTAGGGCAGTTATAAATACTCATGCCAGAACTTGTCAGACACTAAAAGAATAGAGTAATTATTAACTGTAATCAGTCAATCCAATCGATTTGCATACATTTATATTTATTATCGGAAATATAAAATTGAACAAAATATGTTATGTAGTTGATGAAGTTCAAATGAGATCGCGAGTTAATCACTTCTGGGCACAACAGTGCCATTATTAGCATTAAACAGTGAACGAAACACAGTTTAAATCGTATAAGTAATAAATAAATATATTTGCAAAATTTGAGCATTTCTCAAAATTCTCATAATTCTCAAAAGTGAAACATGCCACTTATACCAACCTTTAGAATCCCCACGCAATCACAGTTTGCGCACATATCTTTTGCTGGATCTAGAGCCAGTTCGATGACGCACGTGCCTTCGATTTTCTTCTCAACACATGGCGTCGAATTTTTACCGCTCACTTTGCAGGCTTGATAGAACATATGAGGTGATACTTTTCCAATGTCAGTTCCAATATATACCTGAAAATAGGACGTATTTTCGCTATAAATGATTCATGATTTACGTGGTGTCATATTTACGTAGGGTTTCTTATTTCGTTTTCCAAATATTACTACATTTTTTATTTTAATTTAGTTTGGGTTACTTATTTAATTTGTTGCAAATGACAATACGTGCAATTTGTGTCTTGAGGTATAATTTATTCAGAATCTAATATGGGTTAGATTTCAGACTTGATTTTTTTGGTGTAAGTCTACTTGCTAAAATGCGAAAATTCCCAGATCCTTTAACTTTATTAATTTTACTTATACTCAATTAAATGAGTCTGAATGAAGAGACATCATAGGGTATATAAAATTTTTAATAATTAATTACCTTAAAAAAGTAGTTAGTTAAAAAAGTAAATTCACCAAGAAAACCCCTCTTGAAGATTAAGGTCGTAATTTGAAAATTTTTAAGAATGTGAAATAAAAACATTGATTTACAAATGGTAGTTTGTTCAACTAACCTGAAGAACAGCTGGCTTATAGTAACCAGTCAACTGAACAATAGGAAAGCCATTTCCCTCTATGTCTTTTACTGCTCCTCGGCTGCCTTCCGTCTGGTAGCGAGCTCTATGCTGTTGTTCTGGTTGTTTTATTATCGTTAATACAACATCACCTTGAAAGAAATGTTTGTTAAGTTGTATGGTTAAGTCTATGGTTTTCAGAATGTATTGAAAGCTTTAAGCTTTGAAGCATTTTATAGTGGCAAAATTCGTGCATTTGTGCAGTGTAAAAGAGCGGGATATTTATTTTACTAAGCATAACAAAGGTAGTTAGGGCAGAATTGATTGATTGAATTGATGAAAAGCGAATTGTAGTACGTAGCAAAATGCGCGTAGTTTTTGTCCTCCTTGGTTTGAAAACTTGATCTTAACATCAATTAGAAAATAGCAGTTGAATATTTTAATTAAAAATATTGCTGTAATGGTACAGTTTTTAGCAACTATTGAAATTCTTTGCTTAGAAAATCAAAATGATGCATCTGTTAGTCATAGCAAATCACCAAAGGAGGTTATTGATAAAAAATTAGAGAATTTTTATGGTATATATTTATCACTTATTGAAAATCAAAGTTTACTTACTAAAACGTGACGTGTAGGTGAGTTGGGTAGTGAGGGATATTGGTGAGCTGGGTGTTTGTCGGCTGACAGCCGGCGTGCAGCGTTGGACTGTTCTGCTAGATGAGTGACTTGTGTTGTTTGATATAACTAGTGCAGGTACTGATCCTCCTGGAGTCGTTCTGATTAATCTGTAAATTTATTTTTATCAGTGAAAAGATATTTTAGATTGGATAATTTCCACTTGAATGGAATATTATCAAGTTTTCAAGTACTTATGGTAGATATAACAGTTAGGCATAAGCTTAAGTAAACTTTAAATCCTTAATGCAAGTGGGTATTAAACTCTCAGAATTTATAAATATAAAAGTAAAAACAATCTTTATTCCTCAAGAACATGCCATCGACCTAATCGGCCTTCCTAGTATTCTTGACCTATTTATACGATCGTATAATAGTAATTGGTTTGAATGATTGTTTGAAAGCTTGGAAAGAAGAATTGTTTCGAGGATGTCTTATTCTTATAGTTATGTTATATTTGTATCCGTTTGGTGTGCCCGTAGTCTAGCAGAGCTCTACATATTACTTACTGTTTACATTCTTGTGTTGGTTTTTGTACTTATTATTTTGTTTCTTTGTTTGAAACTATGTACAAATATTGTTGTCCTTTCATTCTTAGTCTTCTGCGTGTCTACTAAATTTCAGTTTTTGTCTCATTTTTTCTCTCACTATTCTGTTTTCAGTCTAGTATTATCTCTAGGTACATATTTCTTGTTTTGAACTACTTAGTTTTATTCCCTTCTGTTAATATTTTCGAAAAGTTGTCTTTCATTTGATGCTTTGAAAGAAGCAGCTGGTTTTCCATTTATTCCAAGTCATTATTTCATCTGGATTGTGTGTTTGCAGTTTTCCAACAACTTTTGTTGTTGTTTTGTCGTGTACGAATAGTCTCGTGTCGTCAGCGTATTGTCGAATGTAGCCGATATTTGACTATTCCAGCACTGCTTTATTATAGACAATTTGCTAAAAATGGCCATTCGCTAAACGACGTCAATTTATGTTACTGTTGAAGTTTTGCTTTTTTAACTAAATTAATCATAAATAAATAACTGCTTTTTGGTTTCCTTAATATACAAGGTGAGTCCCTTTATAGTAGCAAGACTTTAACGGACAATAGAAAATCCAATTTCAAGATGAAAATATCATACAAACATATATTGAAAACGGATTAGTTTTTGAGATACAGTAGAATAGGCAAATACATTTTTTTATTTTTATTTTTTATTCACATAAATGTTAAGATATTGTAATAAAATTCTATATTCTGGGACTTATCACATCATTAAACATTTATTGGTAACTTAATCAACAATCAACTAAAGTGTTATAAATACTTCCAGGTCAACTATTAGCAGATATTAAAACTATTGGAAATACTACTGCGAATAATATACAAACAAAATACAAATTTACGTTCAATCTGTAAACAGAAGATTTTTTGTTTCTACGAGAATTAATAAGCAAGCATCGGATACCAAGCGAAAGAGTATCTCTTTCTTCCGATTTGAATACTTCTTCTGCTAACTTAGTGGATCTTCATTGGAATTTACGTAAATAATGACTGATCCGCTCATAAACGAGAGAAAATGCTGCTAACATTGTTAGCACCTATCAGTACCTCAGCAGGAAAAATATATTTTCTTTTCAAGCTCAAATTTAGTGCATCATTATTTTCAGGGTTTAGGAGCTCAGATTTTCAAGGAACTAATAGTTCTTATGTTAGAAGCGATACTTCCACTGGTCCATATTGTTTGCCGCTGTGAAAAATCCGAAATTATTTTCAGAGTTGTTTTTGTTATTAAAAAATTAGAGTAATTTCCATCTAGTAAAACTGAGAAGAAACTTTGTTTCTCAGTTTTGCTTTCTCATTAATTGCAGACAATGTTGAACATTAAGTCGTGATAACTTAGCCGTGGTGTATGTTGTGCTACGTATTGATTCCGAATGTCTTATGGTTTTGCCTTAAGGTGTCTTACCTTATGGCGTCTTATGAATTTGCCGCAGATCAGCCTCGGCTCGTCACCATTCGGAATTAAAAGGGAGCACAATTTTAGAAGTTCGGACGCACCAGTTCTTTATTTCATATTTTCCTGTTTTATGACATAGCATTCTAATTGAAATTTTCGAGCGCATTTCAACGAATACGTTAATTTTTCAAAGCGTTTTTGTGTTGTGGTTTAAACGGCTTGCAATCGTTAGCCAAACATTTTGAATAATGAAATTAAACGATCGTTTAACTTGATTAAATACGAATGCAGATTGCGTAAAAAAATTATTAGATTCAAGGAAAATACTTAGAAAAAGAACATAATCAGTCACTGTAAACTAATTTAAAAAGCAAATATAAAAATTGTCAAGTTTTTTTTAATAAGGTAAATTTTTTTTAATTTGGAAATATTGGAAGGGATCCAAATATTATCGAAAACGTTTCTTGCGCATACATTAAAAACTAAGGACTGCCGAAAAAGATGTGTTTTCAATAATGCATTAGTTTTTAAAGCTCTACGGATTAATATTAAATTTACCAAAATAACAGATATACTTTATGATATATCGACACTAACTCCATTAATTTAAATACGAATTTCGATTTTTAAAATGCATATTTTATCCTAACTTCAGTGAAGTACCACATGTTTACATTTGCTGTCGATGTTTTAGTCGAGTACAAATTGCAAACAAAAACATGAAAGAATGTAATTTTCTTGACTAAAAATAGTTCTGGTAATTACTCAAATCAATATTATTTAATTAGTTGAAGACGACTCCGAAATATCTCAAGTAGTGACAACACACACAAGGCACACATATTGAACTTTTTTTAGGAAATTTTGTAGCAAAGTAGGCGTCAGATTTTGCACAGGCCGCTCGAGTGTCCACCCAAAACCCCATACCGAAAAATCAATGAGAGTGATATCTGGGATCGGGGTGACCAGTGGGAAAAATGGCGTACTTTTAAATGCATGGTTTTTATGATTTCACTGATACACCAGATGGTTACATTTGTCGATGTTTTAGTGGAAAAAGTAATCACCAAGGCTTATTGTCGAAAAAAAAAACAAATCCCACTCTGGATTTCAGTTATCTATAAGTTGCTTGTTTTGCTTCTGTAAACCGAACTGAACCAAAAGCTACAATTATTTTTAATTAAGCAACATAAAGTTAATCAAAAATATTTGTGTTTCTCTGTTATTTGAGTCTTAATAGTAGAGCAAAAATCGTTTCACAAACGCAGAAAAAACAGATATGCTTCTTGTTTATATCCAAGATTTCAAGAAGTTTATTAAAGCATCCGAACGTATCATAATGTATATCAAGAAAGAAAAGCACCAATCCTAAGGTATTTTGAGACCACGAAAGAAACGTGCGGATTTATGGATCGTTCAATAATTCAAAAGAGGAAAAGCTGTAAGAGTAATAGGAGGCAGAAACGAAGAAAACTTGATAGGTATGTAAAAATGCCCACGTGAACGTCGCTATTCAATTACTTCGTATCCAAGCCTTTTAACGCCATTATTTTGCGAAGCACTATTTATTAGATTTTTTTATTACTTAGATTCTAGACGTTGAGAGTTTTTGCAAAACATTTTACAAGAGCAATTAGATGATTTTCTCCTTTACCTGTTACAAAGTATTTCCTTTGTTGTCACTACATGAAATATTTCGAAGTCATCTTCAATTAATTAAATAATATTGATATGAGTTATTAGCATGAACTATTTTTAGCGAAGAAAAGTACATTCCTTCATGTTTTCTTTTGCAATTTGCAACCCAAATCCACTGTTGCACTTGAATTTTTCGATTAAAACGTCGGCAGCAAATGTAAACATGTACGAGTAGTGCATCATTGAAGTTAGGATCCATTCTAAAGACCAAAAAGAAACCGAAATCCGTAATTAAAAAATTATAATTATTATCCATATCTCATAAAGCAAAAGCGCTAGTATGGAAAATTTAATATCAATGCGCTAGAGCTTTAAAAACTAATTCATTATATAAAGCACTTTCCAATAATATTTGGTTCTCAAGATATTAACCTGTCGTCAAATTTGACAAGTTTTATCTAATTTAACCGAAATTTTTACTCCTACGGTTTAGAAGATAGCCCCTAGCAATTGGGCCACGAGTAGCTGTATATATCGTATTTGCAACATAATATAGAAATATGTAAATCTCCAACATAAAACGTATATATTTTATTTTGTGAAAAAAAGTACTTGATTCCTTCTACGTTTACTTACGCGACATTATTTTCTTTGCTTTGTAGTACACTATCTGGAAAACAATAGTTGTCGTTTACTTCTTCGTTTTCCACTTTGATGTCCAGACGTGGTCTTTTCGCTTCAACTCTCTCTCCATTCCACGCTACTCTCTCGGACATAGTCATTGTGTGCTGGTGACTATCAGCGTGATGATCAAAACTGTAACAAATATTCTATTAACTTAAATAATGCAATTACATGTTCATTAAACAACCATTAAATCTAATGCCTTTGTTAAAGTTGTGCTACTATGTTCGACTTTTTCTCAGCCCTAAGACCCAGACTACTACACCTCAGAATTTTTTAGCTAAAATTTGTGACTATTTTAAAATTTATAATTAATTCCAGCTCTTCTAATGTAAAAAGTTAGGACATTTTTTAACATCGCTGAGGAACATCGCAGATAGAATTATCTAGTAATTTTAACTGGTTGATTTACTGTGCCGCCACTGACTAGTATCAAATATTAATATTGGACTTTAGTATTATCCCTAATGGTATGCCTGATTGTCGAGTGTTTAACATTTTAATAATAAGATACTAATTGACTTCTATTTGAACAACTTTAAAATGGTAGATCAGGCTAAGCCCGATGTATTATTGTACATAATAATATACATTTAGCCAACTATGAACAGTCGCTAAGGACATAATATATCACAATTTCCAAGCCATAGCCGGTAGAAAAAATAGTTCTCGGTCCGCAATTGAATCGCTTGTTCAGAGTAAGCTTCCAGAACATAATTAAATGTTCCTATTATTGCCGCAAGATCGATAAGTGAATTATAGCCTTGAACTGATGTTTGATTACGCATTTATACAAATGGAGGCCAATATATCTCGTATATGGATCTATACTTTCCTGTTGCTATGATAAGTTTCTTTTACCCTTGGTGATGTTTTGCCAACATGAGCCATATAAAGCTGTTACTATCCAGCAGCATAAATAAACTTTTGCGGATTAGGGTGATTAGGAACTAAAGAACGTTCTCAAGGTTTCATTTATAACAAAAATCAGAATGCACATCAGTCCGTGTGCTACGCGCCCCCACAAAACAACACCGATGTCTCTGCAATTCTGTAAACACTCCAAAGTAAAACTAATTAGGTTTTTCCTTTTATAAAAAAAACTCGAACCGAAATGCTTCCGATTTAAATTAAGTGAATATTCGTTCCGCATGTCGGTAGCGTAATCCAACATAAAGTGTTTATCATTGGTTCTTTGAAAACAATTTCAACCTTTGTTGTGATATTTAAAAATGGAACCAAGTGAGCTGGCAATCGCAACCATAACAAATTAATTTTTGTGAATTGATTTTCTGTGATCTCTCTTTGTCTCCAGACAACGATTTTTTACATTTAAACCTTTTCAGGCAGGAATTCAAATCTTTAAAATAACAAAGTATAATCTTTTTTGAAGCAAATCACCGAGTTTTGTTTAGTAAGTTAAGGCTTTTCCTCATTAAATACATTTTCCTCAATGTCATAACACAAGTTTCCAAAAACCCAGCATAAAATTACATACAAGGTGTTCTTAAAATAAGTGGTCCGATTTTCGGAGCACACAGAGAAAGACAATTTATGAAGATAATTTTAATAATTATCCTCCTTCTTAAGACGCGAAAAAATGCCTGTTCAAATCTTAACAGGCAACATGATTTTAAATTATTTTTTCCTAAACAATTAAACAAAAACTTATGAAACTTGGTACACATTCAAACCCTCTACATCCTGAAAGGGATAATTGATAATAAAGTTGACTTGCATTTAATTATTACGTTTTTTAAATTTAATTCAGAAAACGTCACAGTTACAAAATATCATTGACAGAAATAAATAAATGTATTATTTAATAATTTCAGACATATAGAGTGGGTCCCAGAACTAAAGTCTAAATTCTTTTCTGTCTCGTCTTCTGTAAAAAAGCTAGGACTCGTCATTTTTTATTGGCAAATGCCATTTTTCATACCAAATTTAATTACACAGGATGGTCCCAAAATGAGTTACGACTAATATCTTCATTTTTTTAAATGGAAGCACCTGAATTTTGAATTCTCCATTGAATTCTATAGGTCTGACCTAAACCCAATAGGACTCGCGGCATTTGCGCGGTAAAGAAAGCTATTTTCGACAATAACAAGATGCACGAAGAGTTTATTGACCGCATTAAATGGCACACATTTTGAACATTTAGTTTGATTGTTGTTCTGTTTTTTCAAATAAATCGGCCACTTTCAGGACTACAGAATTTTGAAAGAAATCGTAAATTTCCGCTCATCCGTAACCAGTACGCTCCATAATATTTAAGAAAGTTGATTAATATTTTTAAAATGAAAGAATGCATATTTATGTCTTGATTATTTAACAAAACTAAAAAGGGGATGATAATCAAGTCGAATTGAGGAATACTAAAATGCACAAAAACGACTATTTTTAAACAAATTCCACAGAAGTCTACACTTTGAAATAATGTTCAAGTTTTATGCATGGAGAGATTTAGTTCTCATGGATAGTTATGTAATGGATAGTTGTTAGATAATTGTGTTAACTTTTATACAGCAGTTTTAATTTTGGAACACGTGGGGCACTAACGTACCAAAAGTAAAATAGAAAAATAAATTATAAAATGACTGAATGATTGACTTAATTAACATTAAAATAATAACAGTTTCAACATGGCCCCTGAAACTGGAAGTTTTCGAAGACACGCTGGTTTCTGAAAGCCCATTTAAAGTTTCTGAAAGTGAATAGATAGTTCTCTAAGTACCATGTCTGATCTGTTATATCTGAAGGAGTTAAGTTAAATTTATCGGCAAGTGTGACGTGAAAGTTGTTTGTTGGCATTCCACACAAGCAGCACAAAAATAACCGGCTATTATACGTCTGCTTAATTTTCTCCTAATTCTCAATTTGCATTTTATTACCAGACTTAATGTCCATCATACCTTTTACGCTGAATAACCAACCCAAAATAATCCATATTTTCATTTGCATATGTTTCTAGTAAAGTTATTTAATTTTCTGGAATTTTCTTGATTACATTACAAAAGTTGATGAAAAGTAAACAGTCACCAATAAGAATAATAATAATGATAAATATGTGTTAATAACTAAATATGCATGTTTAAATCCAAATACACAATTCTGGGTATTTGATGGTCTTATGCCCACATAAAGCTTAACGAACATTTTATAAATGATCTTACATGATCCATATTGGTTCCAGACAAATTTAGTGGTTAATTTGATCACTCTTGTGTCTATTAAGTTGGAAACAATGTTCATTATTCCCACCGCCAGATACAATAATGATGTTTAAGTAACAGGTACTTAGTTCAAAATAACGTGTTATACACATCGCACTTATGTCTGTTATGTAAAACGACGAGTAAAGTGCAAAATGTCGTGTATTAGAACCAGAAATCAATGGATCATCAATTTAATACCAGACCACAGTGCTCGAAATACCACCAAACAGAAGATCTCAGTTACAAACATCTAAAAAAATTAAAGCAGTGGAAATGCAGGATCCTCGTGCTAATTTCGATGGAGAGGATGTGTAACTTTTCAGCAAGCGGTTTAAAAAAGTGCAAAAACAAAAGTGAACTAAGCTTGTGGAACAAAAAATTGACCCGAAACATCTATACATCGGCAATGTAAAACTATGATCACCATTTATTTTTAATATGATTTTTTGGACAACTTTTGATGTCTAGTTTTGAGGGGTGAATTTTTGCACTCTTGTTCATAGGAAAAAAATAATTTATTTTGATCTTTAAACTACACCGCTAAAAGCCCAAGTTCTATCCTGTATATACAGGGAGCAAAGCGGTGGGAAATTTAAAACAAAAAAGAGAATGCCACTTTGTAGTCTTTGTTTTATTCTGAGTTTTATGAAGAATTAATTCAACTTGAAAGTCCCTGCAATATTTTGTCCATTCTAGGATTGTCCTGGTTCTCGTTATGTTTGAGATGGATTAGTTCATGTTTCCGTGCCCCATAAAAAACTATAAATCTTTCTTGCCAATTTTAATACATAGTTCTTGTACGTGTACCTGTCTGTTAACGTGCAGAAGTTTTGTGTTCTAACAACACAGTAAAATATAGTAACACTTCAAACAAACTTGTTGCTTACTTTGAGAAAATAACAGTTGGACCAATTTTCCAACACCTCTCTGTTTAGAGTTCATTTTGCCTGTGATGCTTATGTATCAACATGTTTATGTATAATGTATATACATATTTTGCAAGTGACTCACATTGGAAAAGAAAGGAAAAATGTACTTCCAGATTGTTTCTGGAATTAATATCTATTCGCCAGGCCACGCGGAGGAAAGCGTGAACGGTGTCGGTTAGAAACGTATCTGAATCGACAAACAGTGTTTGTAAACGAAAAGGGGACTAGACTAGAGAACAGATTCTCAACGTACTGCAACTCATAGATAAATGCCGATAATTTAATATTCCATCTGTTTTTGTCAACTCCAAAAGACTTCTGACTGCTTCAACTGGAAAATAATATGTCAGGTTCTTGGCGAGTGTGATGGATCACACATTAGTACCATAAGAATCGATTACGAGGCAAACAGAACATGGCAAAACCAACAACAGAGAACCGACACTCTTCGCAATTTAAGACTTGTTGAAGACAGCATTCTTAAGACTTGAAGAGAGCATTCGCCTGGGATGCATTGTCTCTCCAGATCTCGTTAACATCTATGAAGAATACATCACGAGAAAGGTGTTGGATGGAATTCAGGAATATTAACTGCGGGCAAATATAATACAAACCTGACGTATGCAGACAATACGACGATACTAGTAGCATAAGAAGAGGAAATGTCGGACCTTCCAAACTGAGTTGGCAGATATCAATGGCTTTAAGATAAACGCAGAGAAATGCAAATTAATGATTTTGGATCGGTGTAACGATCTGCGGCTGATTGCTGATCCATTTAGATAGTACCTGGCTGGACTCATATATTCTAACACAGATCTAAGCGAGTGACATCCGAACAATAATACGAATGGCGAAAAGTTCAATCAGTAGATTATCTACATCTTTTGTTGTGGCGCTGAATCCTGGACAATTAAGCCAGCACAGAAAATTGATGCAATTTGTGCTGGACACGAGAGTTGTAAATTCCATGGACGCGACAGTACAGACACACAGAGAGTGGATACTTGAACTTCCAGACTAGACTCGTTTCCATTTATCTTGCAGGCATCCTGGGATTTTCTGTACACGATAATAACGTGAACTTCAGAAGGAAACGTAGAAGGACGAATGCCCAGCGGACGCTTACAAACCCGCCGGACTGATCAGACTTTATTTTACTCTGCTCAAAGTAAGCAATGGACGAATGGAGAGCACCATCAGCATAAGTTGTTAATAATCATGATTACCAGTAATGAGAGAATAACCAGACAGGAATACCCAATTGTGCAAATGAATCCCAGCTGATCAGAACTAATAGGTTCCAATGTTCCAAACCGACCTTGCTTGTCCATAACATGGACCTGTACTGGTTCATGTATTTATGACTATGACTATGAGTAAATAAACTGGCTTCAAACGAATTTCTACCACACTGAAGGTTCTTAAATTTTTTGCTGATACGATAAATATAATTAGAATTTAAAGCTACATTTTGAAATTAAAGTGAATAATGTTCAACACAAAACACCAAGCTTTATTATACATAGATATTTATGTCATGAATGTTTTCAGTTTCCCTACACATAATACCACATTCAGCGACAGCAATAAATAAAATAATAAAATTATATTTTTAGAAGGCGGTATATTAAACTTCGATTTATTTTTAAAGGAAATGATCCGTAACGTTCGTCGTTGTTCGTATATGTGAATGGAAATTTAATGTTAATTAACTTTTAGTAAAAATCTCAACATTATAATGGGCGCTGATAAAATATATGTCATATAACAGAACAAGGAAACATTAATTTAATATTGTTGTATTTTCAAAAGAAGATTTAAGTTTTGATAATTTTGTGCTAAGTTTTGGCTAAATGTGCGGTTTCCTCTTAGAAGCAACCGATGTTCAAGTACATTTATTAAAAAACGCAATATAATCTTGATGGCATGCATACGTTTACTCATCGATGCAAAATCATTTATCAAACTCACTTTTAATCTGATATTCCCTGACAATAAACGAAATATTGCGATTGGCATGCCAATATAAACGGTGTTAGTTTGTTTTACTGCGCGCTGTATAACTTTGATCAAGATCGAGGTACTTCTATATATTTTATGACCAATATACAGCCACAAATCAGTTAATATAAGAAATAGGAAAATCAATAATCATGTAGGAGTTTGTTTTTCTATGTTGAGGATTTCTTGTGTAGTATTTCTATAGGTCTCTGCTGGTTGTCATAGAAATACGAAAGACGATTCAAAGCAGAACGATTTGGAGAAACATAAAGAAACCAATATTCAGCAGTCGTATAATGATCAATTAAACTGGCAGGAACGCCACTCAATATCCATTATGTTCACAATTTGCTCAGTTAATTCAGCAGACCGTGATTTATAATGGGTTCATAAAAAAGGGAACACTTATTAGAGAAAAAGTAATTCAGAAGAAATTTAGAAACATTAAAACAATACAAAACCGGATAAATTGAAAGAGCCGAATTGAAGCTCAATTGAGAAATGTAGGCATGTACATATACTCGATCCATCCGATATTCACCAGACTTATATTCACATATATTTCTACAAATTATTTTACAAGCTGTACTTGTACACACAATTATTTTTAAGCAAAAACTAAATAACATTGGTTGGCATGCGATTTTTTGTTTTTCAAAGAATCACATTTAACTATACGAAAAAAGATTGAGCTTTTCTAAAATAGCGTTTACAATGTTGTATTGAAATAGGGCTTAAGTAATCTGCAATCATAAAATGAGATAATTTTGATAAAACGGTCTATTCCTTCCAGTTGACACCAATATTTTTTAAACAACGTCGAGCAATTTAGATACGTGCCGAGCCCTTTATTTTAAATTTATTTACCTTGCTATCTGGAACTGAAATATTTCTGATCTAGAAACTAAATTATTTACTTTCACAACTAAAATTATGATTTATAAGAATGTTCCGGTCTTACCTGAATTTATAAGACTGGATTAAGGATTAGGCAAGGTTTCACAAAATTTACAAAAACAACTAATTAGAAAATATAATGCCCTTGGTTGTGTACGAAAATGTTGATTCAATTACATATTCACACTCATTAATGATACACAAACACCCAAAGGTAAATAAAAAAACTATTCATTAGTATCATTGACTGGATAAAGTCAGTGACCTCGACTTAAGAGGTGATAAACGATGACTGACAAACAGTAGCGAAGTAAATATAATATTTTTGAGATAATATATTTTTCTTGTAATTACAATAACATAAAATGTAATCCTCGAGACACTATTGTCAAACGAGTTATTTCAATATATGCATTCTAAAGTCAATATTGTGTGAAATCAGCCGAACATAGCTTAATGGGAATTAGAAATGTATAATTTCGTATTGAAGTACAAAAGAGAAATGCAGATTAAAGATAACAACATTTAAATTAGGACAGTCTGTATTATTGCCGAGAAAAATGTTGATAAATAGACTCGTGTTTAAATCGTAAAAGTACAATATAAAGTGGATATGTGTAACGCTTCAAATGACGACGAGTTTTAATTTGATTTTTATCTTTTTGATTTTTATCTTATTGATTAGTGAAATTATTATCAATTGGAAAATCTTGAACAAATTTCTTTAGCTTTATTTTTCGTTTTTTTTTTGTTTACTTATGTACATATATGCTGAATAACTCTAATTTCGACAGTAAAATAAGGTTTAAAAAGAACAATTTCAAATCGCAACTAAAATTACTAATATTTGGTAAATTATTTTAAAAAATTCTACCAAAAATTTAACAAGTATACTGTCTTACTTAGAAATAACAAGTTTCGTATCGCCAAAAATAAAGGCCTATTAGCTCCATCTAAGTTTAGATCAACCCTTACTACGAATAATATTGCATTAAGTTCAAATTTCAAATTTATTTCAAATACCTAAATATAATGTGAACTCAAATTTCATTCTTAAATTTGAGATTCGATAAATTCTCTAGATCGATAACTAAAAAACTTCTAATAGATATTAAATTATTAATAATAAAGTATTAAAGTGGGTCCCTTCGTCGTCGTTCAATGTGTGTGTGTAATTCGAAAACCATATTTTGTTAAAATTATACTGCGCAAACACTAGGGCCTAACTGTATTTAGTCATTCGAATTTTTCATGTCTGACAGATAACATTGAAAAATAGACACAGGTAACTCAACTAAATCATTTGACTAAAATAAAGAAGAAGAGCAAATAAATCAACAAGAAACCTACAAAAAATATTTTTATAAAAAATCAGTTCTGAAAATCTCGAAGAAATAATTACGAGTCGGTTAGTTAGCATAACAATTTTAAATGTATTTTAGGTTTCGGTATTTTGATTAATTAATGGTCAAGTTAACACAATGCAGGAAAACAATCTGTATTTTTATGGCAATCTTCTAAATAGTTCAGGTTTGCAATTCTGATTCAATTAAATGCAGGAGTAATGAAGTAGGAAAAATGTTGGATATTTTCTCAAATTTTCAAAACAAATCGGATGTTGAGATTTGCGAAAATATATTTAAAGAAATCAACTAGTTCTGATAATGTTTTTATTTACCAGATCAACCACACACATTTAAAAAATACAACCGTTATTGATCAACGACGATTTTGGTACGGTTATATTTAATTTAACAAATTATACTTTGAACAAGAAAATTAAATTATAGTATGTTATCAAAAATAAATAAATTGGAAAATAAATTTGAGCCGAATTTTGAAATGTGACGATACAATCGACGATCAAATAGTGTCTCAATCTACAAAGTGCGTCACCTAAAATGAATTTCTCGGTTTATACAAAAATAAAAATAAAAAGGCGTGTACAAATCAACTGTGGTAATGGAGAAGTGTTTCCATTACTTACTTTTGGTGAGGTATTGATACATCAAAATAATCATTTTTTGGAAGACTTTACGAGGCTACAAAAATTTCCAATTGTTTGCGTTGTGTTTTAATTGCAGTTTAGTTGGACTTTTACATTCATGTAGGTGTTTATAAGTGCAAAACAATTTACATAAAATAAAATTTATATCGTGTACTTTTAATAGCAGTTAAAGTAACGGAATAAAGTAATTTTGAGCAATGAAACACTCGGCGGAAAAACTAATCAATTGAGATAGTTACTGAACGTTGCAAATTACTATGAATCCAGAGTAGCAGGGCCGTTTTAAGAATTGCATGTTTAATGCGCCTTTTATATTATTAAAGCTATTTGCACTGAGAATCTTTATATATTTAAATTAAATTAAACATCCTAATGTCACAATACTCAAATAAATGGAACAAACGGGGAATACGTAAAAGGTGTATTATATTTGACTGCTCTGTAAAACATATTCGTAAACTGTTATCAAGGAAATATTTATTGCAAATAAAGTGATGTCAAGACCTTAAACGAATAGTAAAAATTAATCAAACACTCATTCTCAAGCACATAGTAACAAGTTCGAAATTGTAAAAGTAGTGGCGTATTTGTATTTATTTGCAAATAGCATTTTCTGTTAGATTATCACCATTCACATTAAGTATGGACGACTAATGTTGAATTTAACACTCAGAATCTCCCAACAAACAACATCTCTTAATTTTTCGCGAATAAATTGAGAAAATTATTTCGCTTTTCAGGATTTATTGAGAGAATCTGGGAATTGAAAGAATAAAGCCACCACATGAATATTCAAAATTTAATTTCGTTTCAAGCTGACACTCTTTCAAATAAAATCTTACCCTAACCCGCTATCGTTGGAATTTTCACAGGGATCAATGCTGCGTCTGTAGGCTGTTCTCAGTTTTCCAGACAAATCTCTACCAGTCAGTTTTTTGCCGCTTGGTTGTCGTCCTGGTCGCCTTTGAGATCGAGGAGAGTCCACCATAGATTGAGTGCAAAGAGTCATTTTAGATGATCCTGAATCAACGAAATAATTCTCATTGAGCAAATGTTTTACAATATACAGAACAATTCAAACATCAACGTTCATAAAAATCGTTATTGCCAAAATATAATTTAGAGATCAGAAAGATAAGGATCAGGACTGTTTTGTGCAAGCGAATGCTATGTTTTATGCAAAGGAGTCTTGTAGATTTTCAGTTTCGGACTTTTACTTAAATGCTGATTTTTACGAGCCCACAATACCAAACTAAACCCTGCAGCTAAGTCTTTGAAATATCACGCTTCTAATGAAAGATACGGTATTCGCCCTACATTGAGTAGTGGCTATGGGAATAGTCGAATTAGACAATTCGAATTAAACGTCCAATTATGGAGTAAACCGAACTAATTCAACTAACTTTGAAAAGTATCTGATTTGGAATTGATTAAATATGACCATAGTGATTTCCATATTTGTGAAATACATTTACAAAAGTAGATAAATTATATGCATTTTTTTAAACCTAATTCGAATTTAAAACTGGATCGAATTTTACTAATATAAAGAAGATGTAATACAATTGCATTTTATTGTGCAAAAAATTATACTCGGCGTTGTAAATGGCAAAATTATTGGTTAAATATTGTGTATTGCGTGTTCGTCGTACTTAACTAATTTCGAATACTTTGTCCCTTACTATTATAGGGGTGCCTGTTAACAATTTACATATTTAATTAAATTGTTTTGTATTTTTGGCCCTAATCGTAAAATAACATCTACTTTCCATAAAGGATTGTTTAAGTAATCAGTCACTAAGGAGGGAAGGAAGCTTGTTTGTTGTGTTTTGCTGCTTAGTTCATTTTACCTTTGTTTCCACATTTTGTTTTTTGGTTAAAACAATTTTCCTTTTTTGACTGACGAGAATTCCAGCAGTATTTCGCATGTAAATGGAAGAATCTACAATAATATTTTTCTTCCATTTAAGACACTCGTAATTTCGTGTTTTTTGAATTTCCTATAACGAACATTTACTCAGTGTTGGACTGGTCGCCTGACTATTTATTTCGACCAGTCCAGGATTTTTTATTTTAATTTATAGTTTTTAAGTTTTAATTTGTAATTTATAATTTGAATTTTAATTGTTTGTCCGGTTCATGTTAGGTTGTTTCCCGGTGTGTTTTGACCGCCTCACCACTTTTAGCCTTTGTTCTACACTCTTAAGGATTGCTTGTTTTGACGAGTAAGTTTCTACCTTTTATTTTATTTTATTCATCTTCTTGACTCCCCAAGGGTGCTAATCGCTACTCTTTGTGTTTTCCAGCAGTTCTGATGATGACGTAATTGTCGAAAGCGCTTGGCCATATTTAATATTCAAGGGTTGAATGAAACCATACCCTTGTTTAATTATATATACACACTTTATTACAAATATGCATCTCCTTTGAGTGAATCAGTCATTATACCCGATTCAATCAGCTAATATTTTAAACGTTGATGTGATCGTCCGTATGCGATATCGACAAAACTTTTTTACATTCAATTTGCTTAAATTGTTTCAATTAATCAGGGAATTCTAGTGATATCACGATTATAAACACACAAAGTACGTGCGCTTATATTATTTTAAGTAATTATTGAAATTAAATTTCGGGTCACAAGAGTGTTTCCTTGCATTGTACTTCCAGGAGCTATAAAAACAATACAAATTCAAATTTAAACTATCAAAAAAACCCAATTATTCGAAAACTGAAATTGTTGCGTCAATTGAAGTGTAACCATTTTTGTTTGCATGTGTTGCAAAAAAATGTTATCAATTCATGGCGGTTTGTTTACTTCAATTCAGTTTAATGAAAATATGGTATGTATTTGAGAATGTACCGGTATGGGTATGCATGAAAAATTCTATAGGTACTAGACCTATATCTAGCAGGAAATCTATTGGATACTAAAGGTTATCGATTAAAATTAATAAATAATATATAAAGTAATATGCAAAAAGTGGCAAAAAATGGGCTACGGAATAAATTATTATGTTATTCGGAGTTATAATAGTACGAAATCAAAATAATTGTTGAAAGCTTTTAGTTGATAGGTGTTCCTCAAATAAGTATTACTAGGTGTTCTATTTACTTCTGAACTGCTCTTGAAAAAAAATATTAAATAGTTCAAGTTCATGTTATTTTATCTATGAGCTTCGAATCACCGATTAGATTAGAATAGATTAGATGCTTTGGCATTTGGTATTTTCAAATTATTATTTTATTTTGTATTGTATTATCCTGTGAAACTGCTTAAAAATTAGCACTAAAATTAACTTCAGTTTATTATTTTAATATTTATTTACATTAGATGTTAGATTACAACTACAAAATCACAATTTCGGTTTCTTGATCAGATTAATGATAGAGTCACCCAAAGAAAATAATGTATTTCTTCTCTATATTATAGATATTTCTTCTCATAGATTACTGGAGCAATTAAAAGAAATTTCTAAAAATACAATTTCTGCTTATTCCTGCTCGTTCCTTTCTTATATGATAATCTATATCCTATAAGCTGTTTAGTAAAAAGCTTTCTGAATTTACTGCTCAAAGAAGGAAATTTGTTCCGTGTCCAGAAATAAGTGTTGGAAATATGTACTTATCACTTGTGAGTGCTTAACTGAATTTATGACCCAAAATAGAACATTTTTCTCATAAACACGATCCGCAAGTGCGCAAAAGTTACTTATAATTCCAATGAGTTATTAATATATTCGAACCGTTTGTCGTGCAATCGCCAGAATACCTCCATATTTTCTCATATTAAATTAGTTTTAACAATCTCCATAAACTTGCCAAGGAATCATTAGGAGCGGAAAACTCAGTTTTTCAATAAATTCATACAAGGTGTTAAAAAACAGAGTTAATGCAAACATGCAGTATGTGTTCCTTACAAAATAACCCTAAAATTCCTAAATAAACATTCCTAAATGTGATTTAACCGACCGTGAAAGCCTTCATAGTCTGATAACCCTAAAAGCGACTCGAAACTTCAACACCTTATATATTATGTAGATATATTTTCTAAGACATCGTGGCAAGATCAAAGTGTATTTTTTTAAATAGTATATATAGTAGTAAATAGTAGTAAATAGCATAAAATAATGCTTGAATCGCTGCACAAGCACCGTAAATTATTTTTTGTTACCTGCGACGTTGGCAGATTATTGCCATTTTAGTAAAATTTTGCTAAAAAACATAGTATCTAAAAATTCATTGTAGAAGCAAAAAAACGCAGTTAAAGATACAAAAAATACGTCTTTCCATACACCACAGATCCGTTAAGAATTCTACTAAACCAAAATATCAATACAATGTAAAATATTTTACAGGGTTAGCAATGTGGACTTAAATCTAAAACTTTTTAACGCAATATAACTTTTGTTTTTTAAATGGATTACAACAATATAATATAATTTCGAGTAGGTGTGGTTTCAAATACATCAACAACTATAGCATAACACTTTGGAACCCATACAAATTCCGTCTAATGAGACTGATAATTAACATTAGTAGATTGGAATGTCAACTAAACCAATGTGTGAGTATCATGCACATTGAGTATGGTAAAATAATGTCATACAATGAAACAAACAACGTTTAGAAAACGAAACACTTGATGACCCTTAAAGTCTTACAGCATTATAAATCGTTATCTTCAAAGTTCAGTCTAAACCGACCGAGATTGTTAGCTAATAATCTTCATTTCGTAGACATAGATGTTGTTAATCAATGTAGGACGTAAAATTTCGCGTTCAAAAATACTTCCAACCTATCATCTCGCAAGGTCAGTTTCGTCTTGTTACGGTCAATGATATAGCTGGTACTTCTAATAAGTTGAGAATTAAATCAACTGCTGCATTTAATTTATTGAACATGGCCATCACCAATCACGTAGTTCCGGAGGTTAATAAACTGTAATTGATAAATTGAGAAATATATAAACAGTGGCAAAACCACTCACTGTCGGTGAAGTTGCAAGTAATATACATCACGACACATGCATGTAGTGGGCATATATAGTGTAGAAAATTGGCTGCGATCTAAAGCACATAATATATATTTAAGATTTAATCATTTGTACTAGGTAGACAAAAATATTGTTGTGTTATTACGAAGCAATTAAAATTACATTTTCAATGCTTTTATTATCGTAATCTCAAAAACGGAAATTTATTTTTTTATTGCCACTTTTATCGGACTAATTCAACGAATAGCAGACTTTTTTCTGAGTCCTGAAGTTTATGTTATTGCGAAATTTAAGTTATTGTTGCGAAAATATCGCTTGTTTACTGAACCTGGTCTAGTATAATCTGGTTAATTCAACTTTGGACTGTCGTATCTTTTTTTATACGTTTTTGTTTCATGTGACTTGTTGTTTTGTCTGACAAAATCTCTGAGTTACCCCTAACTTATTTCAGTTATAATTCCAAACCAAAAAAAATCCTTTCAACTTTACATCTAATGGCAATGGTACTTTCCATATTAAATGTAACTTTTATCACTATCTCAATATAGGTATAATAATATAATATAATATACTTAAAGAGTTAGTTAAAATTTTTCTGCTATATGTTAAATATATCCATTTATATTTCATCCTATTATTAAATTACATTTGTTTAAGGAATACATGGAAATAATTACAATCGTATTTCTCTTACTATCATCGATCACGCCTATATGAAAACGTAGGTAATTGTTTATTTTTTTACTTGCTTCAATATAATATTGAAACTATTGGACTATATTTAATCCAGTCGGATTAGATTTTTCTCGGGCACTAAATAGATGAAGGTAAAAGATTATTGGATGTTGTTTGGAAGGATGTCAGAATATTGGGACAATAGTTTTAGTGCGGTTTCCGGGTGTGGAACATTGTTTAAATAATTAAATAAAATGCAAAAAACCATTTTTGTGCATAATTTTGAACTCTTGATGCTTTTGAAGAAAAGTTTATTAATTTTTTCAAGTATTAAAAATACGCACAATAT